TGTCCTGCAGCATACGGGGTGGATGGAAGGATCTGATGGATGTGAAATTAAACACTGGAGTGGATTGCCTAGAGAGGCCATGAACCCCACCCCCCTTGTGAATGTCCTTAATGACAGAAGGGATCAGCATGAAACTGAAGCTACAGGATGTGCTCTCCTGAGCAGTGACGGACAATCTACCCTCACTATCTTTGTCAGAGTTCTAGGCACGAAAGGAAAGTCCTTTGGGGTAAAGTATCTTAGAGGAACTGTTGCTTTGCCCTTTTGTTTAATGGTCTCCTGATGTAGTAAACAAAGTTCAAGATTAGCCAATTGCAGGCAGATGGATGTCAGAGAAATTAAGTAGACCCCTCTATCTATCCAGCTCATTTTCCTAAGAATGATGTATCCCGTGGTCAGAAAAACGACCCCAAGCCCTTTCGACTACATCCAGTAAAAAGCTGACACAACTCCTTCTGTATTTGACAGTGTGTTCCTTCTTGCAGTGATTGTTTTCTGCCTCCCTCACTAGATTGTCTGGGGTTGGTGTCCGGCATCATTATTTCTTCAGGCTCTCCTGATGGCAAGTGCTCAGTAAATACACGAATAATCATTACCATTGTACAATAATGTGAAAGCACTTTCCCCACACTTTTACTAATTTGGTCCTCACAACAATCTTGTGAAATAAGGTACCTTGATTAACTCCCATTTTCCAGATAAGGACATTTTCTAGATATTGGCACGCCCAATGTCACACAGTCAGTAAGTTCTTTCTTTCCACTGCATCCTACTGCTTGAATGAACTATACAGCCTGAACAAAGCATCGGCTCAGTCTTTCCCCATCTCACACATCTTATCCCGCAAATCAACGTGCCTTATATACACAACGTGCCTTGGACATACACTAAGTCCAAGCTCAGTCTATGCTGAATAAATGAAATGGTGCATTATACAACAGATGATCTGCACGCAATCCATGGAAAAGAAGCAACTTAAGGGGAGGGAGAGTCTTTCATGCAAACCATTTACAGGCAGTCTACTGGGTGTCGGGTATTGGAAAACAGGACGCCACTGTTCTGCCCTCATGGCGCCTGCAGTCCACTGCAGGAGATAGACGTTAAACAAATAGTACCACAGTAAACTAAGCACAGTTTTGCTAAATGCTACTAAATGTAGCAGGGGGAGTTGCTCTGGTCCCAAGGAAGAGCAACTGGCGCTCGATGTAGGAAGGTTGGCCTCTTTTGGGCGAGGGGGATACACTTAAGATAGAAGCATCAGTCGAGGCAAATCAAATGGGCAAAAGGCGTAGGGAAATTGCTTCTCATAAGTAGAAGTGGACCTAAAGGACCCCAACTCTCCAGTCCCACTGCCTGGCCTCCTACCTGCTTGTGAAAATCAGGAAAGAAAAAAGAGAAGGCAAGAGAGAAGTTCGAGGTCAGTTTCTGCAAGTGGGGCGGGCGGTAGGGAGGCGGAGGACAGAGGGGAGGCGGCGCCGAGGGAGTTAAGCGGGGCCGACCCGGGAAGGGAAGGGTTAAGGGGGGCCGTCCGGAGGGAGCCCGGTAGGCCCGCCCACTGGAGGGCGGGGGCGGGGCCTCTCAGAGTGAGCCCTTGGATTGGTCGCGGGGAAGGCGTTACGCTAGGACGGTACCAACAGTCGGGGGCCGCGGAGGCGGGGGGGGGGGGGGGGGGGGGGGGCGGGCGGGGGGCGGGGAGCGCGGCGTGGGGCTGCCCCGCCCGGGGGGCGGCGGGGGTGGCCGGGCCGCACCGCACCGCGCGGGCGGCCATG